AATAATTGTTTACATTAATGGTGACCAAAACATTTGAGACCCACTGAGATAACACTGAGAGAGTCCTTTAGCTCACTGAGTCTCTCAGTCTGACAGGAGAGGACTCTCCTCCACTTTGTTGTTGAAAAAACTCCTTATATCCGTTAGCGTAGCTCGCTAGCACCAGAAGCTAACAACAATGATCTCAGGTACCGGTGCGCTCTCTCTCTCTCTCTCTTGCTCGCGCACACAAAATGGGTCGTTCCACACACACACAGAGCCGAGCTTTAATGAAACACAGAGACCCAGACGTAATAGTACTGTACTATATCATATTATTTTCGAATCAATAATTTTTCAAATTATGATTCTTTTTCTTTTATATATATATATATATTTGTTTTATAACCATTTTTCCTCCTGGTCTCTCGCGCCCCCCCTGGCATGCCTCTGCGCCCCCCACTTTGAGAACCACTGCGCTAGGCAGAGTGAACATTGCTACACAGCTGGACGAGGGCCACAGGATTGCGGAAAGGAAGGAAACACAATGAGGAGGTGGACAAAAACAGGCATATTTTATGCAAAATAATCAATTGTGTGAAGTTTTGTGGGGCGTTTGAGTTGGCTTTGCGTGGGCATGACGAGACTGACTCTTCAGTCAACCCTGGCATTTTCAGGGGATTGGTGGATTTTGTTTCCTCCCTGGACACTGTGCTGGAGGAGCACCTAAAGACCGCCACCGTTTTTAAAGGCACTTCAAAGATGGTACAAAACGAGCTGTTGGACTGCATGTTGTCAGTGCTGAGGGATTACATTCTGGAGGAGGTAAACAGCGCTGATTTTATCGCCATTCAAGCCGATGAGACGACGGATGTCTCCACCTACTGCCAGCTGGTGCTTGTGCTACGCAACATCGACGCTCAGGTAAATAACTATATTTTGGCTGAGAAAACGTTTAGAAAAGATCAGTTCCTCACTTCCAACTGTCTAAATGTGCCATGTCATCAAAGTGAATGAATATCATGTATCACATCACAATTATATTTGTTTTAGTATTTAAAAAGGAAAGAGAAGACACTCAGATTTGGATCATAATGCAGGTAAAGTAGTTAATAAACAAAGTTTGTAATAACAGGCTTATTCAGGTGTCCACCAGGTCAATTTCTAGAGGAGGCCTAGTTGTTATTGATTCAAGGTTAATTTAGGCCTACATACTATAGAGTGGTGCAGTGACGCGTCCTAAAACCCGGAAGTAAGCTGCGCATGGGTACCCTCCGGTTCCCTCGACAAAAAAGCAATCGATCATAAATCTATCGATTAGATTTATGATTCGAAAATGATAAAAGTAGGGTAGACATGTGGAGATTATCCGACTGAACAAAACGTGATCCGTCTCTTAAATGTGTGTCAACCACAGACCTTATTTCGAGCTATTTTCCAAAATCCTATGGAGAAATTGCATTGCTTTTTTGTCGAGGGAACCGGAAGGAACCCATGCGCAGCTTACTTCCGGGTTGTAGGACGCGTCACTGCACCACTCTATACACAGGACAAGTGCACAGCAGAACAAAATGACATTGCATCTGGCTCATGAATGTTATATAAATAAGTAAAAGTAAGATAAGTAAGAAAGAAATGGTTTATAATTAATTATATACATACTGTAAACAACAATGAGTATATTGCACACAATGAATATAATTGCACATTAATGAGTTTCATGGCAAGTTAGCAACCTAAACTTTATGTTTTGGACCAGGGCCTCCATTTCCTCTCTGAGTGCGGACAGTGCATCTGACCAGCCGCAGGAGCCCATCAAGAGACGGAGGACGCTGGGAGCAGGAGAACAACAGAGGCTGGCTACAGAGGTAAATTGTGATCTGTCAGTGTTTGCCCTATATATATATATATATATATATATATATATATATATATATATATATATATATATAGTGCTTGTGGTATGTAGCCAAAATAAAACCTAAACCGACACTGCGCACAGGATGGCATATTGCCACAATGGTCGAATGATGCAGCAGGCAGTCTGCAATTTATATATTGGCATTCATATTTTTGTTTACTATTTTTGTAGATTCCAGGTTTATGTCAGAGCAGTCACACAAAGGATAACAATAAGGCATCCTCACATGTAACAGAAAAGATGTGGTTTATTCATTGAAATGCCACTGTAAGCCTTGTTTTGTTGTGGAAAGCAATAGAGAGTTAAAGATCAGGAGAAGGAAACATGCTGTGAAGTACAATTAGGAGTAATGGTGTTAAAACCTTAGTAGTCATATACTTGAGTTGGAAATATGTGTTCAGCATCACTTTCACAGCTTTATTTCAATTTGAGATAATGATATATCTTTTACAGGTATGTGATACCATCCTGATGCACGCAAAGGAGCGGTTCTCCTTCACCCGGGACCTCATCAGCATGGAGAGTTGTTCCAACAACACAGTGTGAAGTTCCCTGATGCAGCACTTCAAACGACAGTGCAGGCGTACCCCATGTTGAACAAGGCCAAGCTCAAAACAGAACTGTGCCTCATCTATGATAACAGCGAGTTCAAGGCTGTACTCGTTTTTCATGGATAACAACCTTCAGAGCACTTTCACAGAGACTGTCAGTCTTCTCAGGATCCTCATCACCACACCAATGACAACAGCTGAATCTGAGAGGTGCTTCTCTACTTTGAAGAGGATCAAGACCTTCCTGAGAAACACCATGTCACAGGATCGCCTCAATGCTCTGGCTATGCTCTCCATGGAGAAGAAACTTGTCAGGGACATTCCTGACTTTAATAAGAAGGTCATTGAGAGGTTTGCCACCCAGAAGGAGAGAAGAGCAAAATTCCTCTACAAATAAACTGTCAAAAAAACATCCACGTTTTCTCACCACAGTATTGCTAATGCCATTGTGTTTAAGTTGTTGTACATAGTCCCGGGCGCCGTACATAATGGCAGCCCACTGCTCCTAACACTAGGATGGGTCAAATGCAGAGAAACCGTTTTGTTACATAGTACCTGTACTACGTAATGACAATAAGTTGAATCTTCAATCTTCTTCAATAGTCCTCAGTCTCAAATGCTTAAATTGTTTATGGAGGCATTACAATTTAAGACTGGTAAATTAACACGGAAAACTCCTGGTTTTCTTTGCATTAAGTCATACTGGGATGTTTGCTGAAATTGATTGCATGTGGCACAGCCCTACCTAGAAACAAATCCACCAGCCGCCCTCTGTATATATAAAATGTATTAACCAAATATAATTATTCAATATAGGCCTACTTGGTCCAAAAGTAAAACATACTAATTATGCAGAATGGCTTATTTCAGAATAATTTATGTGACATTATTGGTTTGTAATTATGAATGCATCAATATCATATATAGACTTTTTTGTTTACTGTAATTTTTAAACTCTAACGTTTTTTTCATGTACAAATCTAAAATTAGAAAACCAGATGATTTATGATAAAACTGGAAGAAGATCTGTGTGTGTGTGTGTGTGTGTGTGTGTGTGTGTGTGTGTGTGTGTGTGTGTGTGTGTGTGTGTGTGTGTGTGTGTGTGTGTGTGTGTGTGTGTGTGTGTGTGTGTGTGTGTGTGTGTGTGTGTGTGTGTGTGTGTGTGTGTGTGTGTGTGTGTGTGTGTGTGTGTGTGTGTGTGTGTGTGTGTGTGTGTCCTATAATCTCCCCCTTCCAGTGTGTTTGAGCAGCTGAGTAAAATGGGAACCTGTAACAGTCATAAATCCTCCCAGTTTAGAGCTGACAGCTGCTGGGAGGCTTTTTCTGGTCCACCACCAGCCTCACATCCTTCCCAAACTCAGTTAGTTGTTATTTAGTTTTGATTAATTAAACCCAGATTCACCCCCACTTCAGACTGTTTAGTTGGGATTAGTCTAGAAAAAGTTTCTCAAATGCACAGTTTTGATGCTTTGAGCACCATACAATTTAATTTATATGTATTACATTGGAGCAAATCATGACTTTAATTAACTTCAAATAAATAGTCAGACATTCAAATGGTTTACATTTGCAAACAATTGCTTTCATTACTTTCATTGTGTTACACCAGATAGTTTTGTGTCTGTTTGTCTATTGTAATGTGTATATGAGTTACTAGAGCTAAATGTACTGAATGGATTTCTATTACTGTGTGTGCAGGAGTACATCTGACACACAGACAGATGAAAGGAGCAGTCAGCTGTTACAGACTACAGCTGAGCTGACTCAGAGGAAACCAAGGACATCAGAGAAATGCCTTTAGTTTAGCAAACTGAGCATTCATTGTCTTTGTAGAAGATCATGTGTTTATTTTATTTTCAAATATCACAGGCTGTTCTTTATACTTTGTCCCCTGATAGATCAATTACTTGTGAATTACCTACAGTCCTCTGACTGACTTTGTTCTGACTGCATTTCGACTACTCTGGGTTTTTTTAAACAAAAGGAAATAGTGCATTTGTTGAGGACTATTTTTTGCGGTGGATTAATCCACATTTGTTACTGTAGTGAGTACTTGGGAATTAGTCAAAATAAACTTCAGTGTGGTAATAAAGGAACATCTGGTCACCCTGGTTGGTAGTGGTCTTTGTGTGAGATGCATCCTTTAACCTCGAGAATTTAAAATAAACATAACCCTTAAAAACTTAACTAAACATTTGAAGAGTCCCCACATGATCCCTCTAAAGATGCTTCCAGAAGAAAATTCCTGAAGCGTTTGTTTTAGGCTCAGCTGCCACCATCGACCTCTCTGTCTGGAATTTAACAAACTTCTGAAGACAACTGCTACTGGTCCCAAACAGACACATTCAAACACACACTGAACCAACATCTATAAAGAGACCAGACTGCTGAGGTATTTTCATTTACCTCTCTTTTCTTCTCCCGGCAGCAGACAGGAATGAACTGCTGGCAGGATGGCAGAGTAAGTCCTGATCTATACTTTATGAATCTACAAAACTCACAGAATCACCGGTAATCATATTTGTTCTTCTGTCTTCCTGTTTCTCTGAAGGAAAAAGGTATCGACGAGTCGGAAGAATCAGATCAAGGTAAAGTAGGATCAAGCTTTTGTTCTTTGTTTTTCAAATTTTGTGAGGCAGTGTTTACAAATTGTAGGGATTGAACTGAAACACTATCACAAATACAATTTCAAATTCATCTACTGTAATTTGCAGTTTAAGTGTTTTTATTTAGAAGGTTTCCTGTTTATTTTTGTACTAACTCTACCTTTTCTCTAAAAATATGAACAATTGACTGGGATGGCCTCCTTGAAGTTTTCTGATCTCAACCAAACTCCACCACTTTCTATTTTTAAACTCCATGACCTTTCCTCTTGTGTCACTCTCAGGATAACTAGTGACAATAGAGGAATCTAATCAGCAAACATTTTGATAATACATTCATAATTTATGTCATGTGTAACACAAAGTTTGCAAACATTTACTTGTTCCAGCTTGCCCTATACAATTATTTGCTGCTTTTCTCTGTTTTGCATGATTTTAAAGTTAAAATGTATATTAGATTTTGGACATTTCAACACACTATTATTGATAGGTTTTCATATTTTCTGATATTTTACTAAACAATTAATTCAATAACTATTAATTGTTAAAAAAAAGTGTTGAAGAAAAAATAATCCTCAGATTAATTAAGATAACTGAGCATTATTGATACTTCAAATATCAGTTTTTTCATTATCATATATTTGTATTATTTCTTCTTTGCTTGACCAATATGTGAATGAAGAAATGTAGAATAATTGTAACATCAATCTAATACAGTAACAACATTTAGATTAATAAAACATGAGAAAGGTGGAAAAACATATATTCATGGTTTTTAAAATGCACTTTTCCTTAAAAGACTTAACACAAACTTAACTTTAGAAACTGCACCAGAATAAATAAAGTATTATTGACAGTCTGAGACATTGTTAGGGGGGCTTAACCTATTGAAGTGTAATGAACATAATGAACACTTAATCCAGTTAATATCCATTATGTGGCCAACACATGTGTATTGTGTATTAAGACAGTTAGAAAGCAGCTTCTTATCCTATAATAAACACGGATTGAGACTTCCGGTCCTCATGGTCATCCTCTCCTCCTCCTCCTCTTCCTCTCAGAGCTTGATGCTCCAGATCAGTCAGACGATCCTGGAGGAGGAGGCGCGGGAGGCCAAGCGAGAGAAGATAAGACACATGGAGGAGAACTGTCCCTCCGTCTCCATCCCAGGAACCATGCCGGATCTCCAGGTAAAACTCAACATCACCTTCATGTTGGGTGGAGGCCCAGAAGAAACACAACAGACACGGGAGATGTTAGTCTTAGCAGCTTTAAAAGGCCGGTTGACACTGCAGAGCCAAATGGGTTGGCACTTAGCATTTGAACACACATTAGGTTTTTATAAATACACCTTTTTTTTTTAGCATTCAACAACAATTCCCATGTCTTTTAGTGCCGTTAGGGAAACTAAAATCCCATAGGAACTCCCACTGTTAAACTTTTTTTTTAAAAACATACTCTACTATAATCCACTGGAGACATTTTTCACTTTCCCCAACACTTCAAATTTAAATATGTGAGAATCTCTGCTGTCTCTCTTTACATTGTCCTTTTACTGTCCAGCTATTTTTGCCAGGAGAACATTTAAATGTAGCAATTTGTCCAATATTCGCTATTAAGTATTACAGTGTAATAGCATTATTTGTACCCAATCACATCTCTATACTACCTCATACTGTTGGTCTTACAGGGGTGGGCATTTTACGGCCCGCGGGCCACATCCGGCCCGTTGGCCGGCCTTGGCCGGCCCGTGTGAGGTTGATCATAAATTATAACATAATGAAAAAAAACAGCAACCTTTTCAAAATAAAAGCAACACAGCTGTATTGCTTGCATGGCGTAAATACTTTTCTAACTGTGTTGCTTTTATTTTGAAAAGGGCGCTGCTGTTTTTTTTATTTATTTACGTATTGATTGATTGATTGAAAAGTTTATTAACAGCTTGTATATTGGGTACAGTACAGTACAGCTCAAAACATACAATTGTTAAGGGGATGCAGACCAGAGAAAGACTTTCGTCTTGTTTACATCAGGGTCCCCCATTTCCAATTCATCATATCATTTAAGACATATAAGACATATTTGACATACAGATGGCTTATTTACAATTTACATACAGGTGGTTTTTTACATACAGATGGCTTATTTACAATTTTCATTTTAGATTTCGTTCTAATACATCCTAACCGGACATTTAAGACATACCAAGTCTACAGATATACAGTTAGTAACAGAGTCTAAAATGCGAGTATATACATAGATGGGGGGGGGAAGCTGTCCCTTGTACGACAGGTTGAGATTTGTACCATTACCGGGGCCAGTTTTGCAATGCTTTCCCCCGAAGGTGCTCTTTAAGAGAGGTTTTGAAGGTAAGTATAGTTTTACTTTCCTTTACAGTTGTGGGAAGAGCGTTCCACCTTGATGTGGCATAATTGCGAAACGTGTATTCCCCTTTTTTTGTGCCAAATGTGGGTTTTACATGATTTGTGGAGCTCCCTCTGGTGTTATGATCATGGTATTCCTTGACCTTTGGGAAGAATTTTGACATGTACATGGGTACCATAGAGGTGTAGTGGATCTTGTAGACCAGGCCCATTGCAAGTAGCTGTACTCTGTCGTCTACTCTAAGCCATCCTAGGTTGTCAAAGTGGGCAGAGGTGAGGTGGGTTCTAGATGAAAGGTCAAGCAGTAGTCTGACCAGTTTATTTTGCGATGTTTGAAGTTTTATTTTTAGCGCCTTGGAGGTGCTATGGTACCATGACGTGCAAGCATAGTCATAGTACCCTTGAATGAGTGCTCCTGCCAGAGTTTTCAGGGTGTTTTTGTTTACCAGAGAGGAGATCCGGTATAGGAATCTAGTTCTTTGATTGACTTTTTTTATTACATTGGATGCCATTTTGTCACAGGAGAGGTTTGCCTCAAGAATAGATCCTAGGTATGTAATTTCCTTCTTACTTGTGACAATAATGTCACCCACTGCAACTGAGAAGTCGTCGGATTTGCTGAGATTATGTTTCGAACCGAAGAGAATGGACTCTGTTTTACCCAGGTGTAATGATAATTTATTATCGGCGAGCCAGGTGCAGATTCTGCCGAGCTCGGAGCTGAGGGTTTTTTCAACCTGCAATCTGCTCCTGTCAGAGACCAGCAGGGCTGAGTCGTCCGCGAACAGGAACAAGTTGCAGTCACATGCTGATGACATGTCATTTGCATAAATTAGGAACAGTAACGGACCTAATATGCTTCCTTGTGGAACACCACAGCTCACTGGGAGGGGGGGGGACAGAGTACCGTTTACCTCCACCATCTGTTCTCTCCCCTCCAGGTAGGATTGCATCCAGCTCACCGATAGTTTATCAAAACCAATTGCTTTTAGCTTGTCAATCAGAATGGGGTGATTGACAGTGTCGAAAGCCTTTTGTAGGTCCAGCATCACCATGCCGCAGTATTTACCCTCGTCCACCTCTTGTTTGATGTGGTCGTTCAAATAAAGAAGGCATGTGTCAGTGGAGTGGGATGTTCTAAAGCCAGATTGAAATTCATAGATTAGTTTCTTTTCTGCGAGGTACTTTTCGACCTGTTCATATACTATTTTTTCCATGACTTTCGAGATGGAGGTAAGTATAGAAACAGGGCGGTAGTTGCCTGGGTCCAATTTGCTGCCCTTTTTGTGCAGGGGGGTTACTCTTGCAATTTTGAAGTCTTTGGGTACTTTTCCCAGTTTTATGGAGAGGTTAATTATGTGAGCTATGACTGGTGAGATGGCGGTTGCTGTGTCTCTGAGGAATTTGGAGGGGATATTGTCGTGGCCAGTGGCCTTGTTAGGTTTGAGGGCGCTCAGTTTAATGAGTACCTCTGCTGTTGTTACCCTTGCTAGACTGAAATCATCTTTGCGTACCCCTAGGTTTTTGTAGTAGGTCATGATGTGATCTACTCCAAAAAGCCCTGAGTGGGAGGGTAATTTATTTACAAGAGTTGTGGCTATGTTTGTGAAAAAAATGTTCAAGTACTTGGCCACATCCAGTTTGTCTGTGATGAGCCTGTTATCTGTCTTTATGTTTACGTTTGAAAATCTCGTTTTGAGTTTTTTACTGCAGCCAAGCTGGTTATTGAGTAATTTCCAAAGTTCACGGGGTTTATTTTGTTTTCCTCAGTTTTGTCATTGATGAAATTCTTTTTGGCAGTTTTGATCATGGAGCTTACGTCATTTCTTAGTCTGTTTCTTTCAATTTTTAGTTCAGTCACGTGGGCCTGGAGTTCACTGCTCGTGCTTTTGGAAAGCATTGACTGACTTTTATGAAACTCAGAGCATTTTTTGTCTCTGGTTTTCATGGCGGTCAGTATGCCGGAGTGCATCCACGGCTCAGCGCGATTTTTTACCCTGGTTGTTCTTAGGGGGGCCAAATCATTGAGTATTGCAGAGAATTTGTTTTTGAAACCAAGCCATGTTTCTTCAACTTGTGTACCACTGAGCTCATCTGACCAGTCCAGGCTCTCCAGTTCTAGGTTAAAGGCCTCGCTAGAGTAGTTTTTGAGGTCTCTAGATATGACTGTTTTGTGACAGCCGGCCTTTTGTTTTAGCTTTTTGCGGGTACAGAATATCATATAATGATCACTTAAACCGCATGCTATAACCCCTTTACTGGAGATCCTGGACTTGTCAGAGGTCAGAATGAGATCAATGGTAGTTTGTGTTGTTTCACATACCCGGGTGGGTTGGGTGATTAGCTGGCTGAAGCCGTGCAGATCACAAATCCTACTGAAGGACTTGAAGACGGACGTGTCTTTACGTTGCATATCCGTGTTCCAGTCTCCAATAATAATTGTCTCTACATCCCCCACATCAGCCAAACACCCATCTAATGTATCATAAAAGTCACTCTGTTCCGGTGGTCTATAGATTGTCCCGACTATTACAGATTTAGCATTGTCAAAAAGAATTTCAACCCACACAGATTCAATATTTTCATGATGCAGGTCAGTACGGTTTTTGAAATTGGTGTCTTTATGTATGTACATGCAGACACCACCTCCATTCACGTTCCTGTCCCTTCTCACTACAAGATAATCTTCAATTTCAATCTCTGAATCTGTAATGGAATTGTCCAATTTGGTCTCAGAAAAGCATAATATGCTTGCCTTACCGTTCATGAACAGTTGCCTGAGTTCAGCCAGTTTGTGTCTCAGGCTGTTAGTGTTCAGATGAAAAATATGTAGTCCATTTTTGTTGTTTAAATGCATAATGTCGTCAGCTTGAAGATATTTGTCTTTGTCCGTTACAGCAAACGGCTTGCGGCCTGCCGTGGTGCTTGGAGCGGTGGGGTGGTGGGGGGAGGGAGGCTCCGTTGAAGCTTTAGCCGTCGATATGCTAGCAGGGTGGCTAACAACATGGTGGATATTTGTTCCCTCGGATCTCGGTTCTCTTCCTCTCGTCACTGCCTCATGCGTGTCTGTCTGCCGAGGCGTCCCCGGGGGAATGTCGAAGTCTCCGTTGATTCCTCGGTCTCCGCTGTCTCCATGGTCTCTGTTGTCGTCGCGTAGTTGTTGCTGTAGCGGAAGAGATGCTAGTTGTGATGCTAGTTGTGATGCTAGCTCCTCGAGCCTGCAGGAATGGCTTCTTGTCTGCACCGGGCCCGGATTCAGATGGATGTCTCCCGCTAACAATAAGACCAAGACGATCATACTTCTTCGGTCTAGTTTGCCTGACGGGGGTAAGTACTTTCGCGTCGGGTTTGCAGTTAATAATGCATGAATGCTTGCACTTCCAAAGCGAGGTGTTTCCTTTCCCAGCCGTTGAGAAGGTAAAAGTCATTGTGGTTCATTTTATCCCTGCTTTCACTACTCTCCTTCTCTAAGTGATGTTGCCTCATTGATGAGTTGAGGTAGGAGTCCATAATCCATATTGTCAGGAGGATGAAATATGTAAAAAATCGTGAGGAATAACCTCCAAAGCGGGAGCTCTCGAAAATGCGACCACTCATAGCGAAACCGGAAGCTTCTGTCGACGTAAACGCTTATGCGGTGAACAGCTACGAGTGATGCTGGCCGGCTAGTCCTCGAAATGTCCGCTAAGGGAAAAAAAAGAAAGATCGATACTGAATGCCGCGTTTTCAACAAGACATGGACCGCTAAGTATTTATTTACAGAAGTGAAAGGTAAAGCTGTGTGTTTAGTTTGTGGTGCGCAGGTCGCTGTGTTCAAGGAGTACAATTTGAGTCGCCACTATGCTACCAAACACGCAGATAAATACAAGAACCTGTCTGAGGAAGAGCGGGCAAAGGGGTCGGATGCTTTGCTAGCTAAGCTGCAAAGCCAACAACACATTTCCACAAAACATTCCACATCCAGAGATGCAGCTGTCAAGACGAGTTATGTCTTAAAAGTTAACCGTTTTCGGAGGGAGAGTTCATTAAGGAGTGTTTGTTGGACACTAATATGCCCGGAGAAAAAGGAGGCATTGAGAAAGTGCCGCTCTCCTCCCGACGCACTGTTACGAGGAGAATTGAGGACATCGCGGGAAATCTGGAGCTTCAGCTGCAGAACAGAGCGGTCAACTTTGACTTTTTGTCCTTGGCTTTGGATGAGAGCTGCGATGTACGTGACACTGCCCAGCTACTCATCTTCCTACGTGGGATAACTACAGACTTCAAAATCACGGAGGAGCTGGCAGCCATGCAGTCAATGAAAGGGACAACAACAGCGAGTGATTTGTTCACGGAGGTAAATGCATGGGTGGAAAAAGTTGGGGACTGAAATGGGACAAGCTGGCAGGCGTGACAACGGATGGTTGTCCAAATCTGACAGGGAAAGATGTTGGACTATTGAAGAGAATGCAGGATAAAGTGACAGAAATTAACCCTGAGCAGAAATAGGTATTTTTGCATTGTATTATACATCAGGAAGTGTTGTGTAAGTCAGTGTTAAAAATTAACCATGTTGTTGATGTTGTAACTAAAATAGTTAACTTCATCAGGGCAAGAGCATTGAATCACAGACAGTTTGTTGCACTTTTGGAGGAAAGTGAGACTGAACATCGTGACATACCCTACCATGCAGCTGTCAGGTGGCTCAGCCTGGGCAGAGTGCTAAACAAATGTTATTTTTTATTTAAAGCTGCTTCATTTCAATAACCAATATAAGCTACACCATATTTTAAGTACCAGGGCTGATCATTTGAACCATATGTCAGGAGGCCGCAATTGTTCACTCATCCCCAAATTCAAGATTTTTTAGATTTGTTTTTTATTCCACTCGGTCATTCTCCACGGGAACATTGCAAAAAACAAAGATTACATGGGCCCTAGTATGCAAATGCTCAGGTTCATATTTGTATTTTGTGCCTGTTTACATGATTTAATATAATTTAATCTAAATTAATCAAAAATGCTTTATGTTTATCATACTGCCTGTGCTGCAGCACCTCTTTTCACCCTCTGTCTGAAACCAGAGCCCAGTCTGCTCTGATTGGTTAGCTGGCCAGATCTGTTGTGATTCAACACTCAGAGAAGTCCCGTCCCTTAGCCTATCACGTACAATGTGTTGGAGAGCTAGCCAATAGAAACATGAGTGTCACATATTGATGTCTCTATGTTAGGGTTGTAAACAAGGGACTACAATCGAGGTGTTTCAGGCAGTGGTTAGGAAAGAAACTCCCTCTGGAGGGAACTTTTGGATTTGAGCCTTTGCAGACCATCATTTACATGTTCAAAAACCTATATAACACAGTACAGGAAAGGGAACACCCCAAAAAGCATAATAGGGCCACTTTAAGGCTTGTCTTGTAATCACATTTATATTCAAGAGCACCCACACCAACCATTGAAACAGATTGCAGATCTTTAATTATAGACACACTTACAGATGGTCTTCTTTGTCAGATTGACGACCTGAGGATGAAGGTTCAGGATCTGAAGGGGAAGTTTAAGAAGCCGGCCCTGAAGAGGGTGCGGATGTCGGCCGATGACATGCTGGCCGCTCTGCTAGGCTCCAAACACAAAGTGTCCATGGACCTGAGAGCCAACCTGAAGCAGGTCAAGAAGGAGGTGAAAGAGGAGGTGGGTGCTTCATATTTTGTATTAAACACTAAAGGAAAACTCAGAGGATTACATTTTCATAGTACAGTAATGTAGTTCTTAGGTTCCATCTCTGAAATCAAACTGTGGCATAAATATACAACAACAAACAAACAAAGAAAAAAATACATTAAAAGGGTTCTGAATCATTTATTCCAAGGGATTTTAATCTCTTTTTCTCTTACTTTGCAGGAGAAGCAAACAGGAGATTGGAGGAAGAACATCGAAGACAAGGCCGGGATGGACGGCAGAAAGAAAATGTTCGAAGGAGAGGTTTAAACCCTAGTGTGTTGTTTTTCTGTCGACAAGGGTTTTTAATTTCTGTATATTATGTTGTGACAATGTGTATAAAATATAGAATAAATAAATAATGTAATGCTTTGTGTTTCATGGCAATAATTTATCATGAAATAAAAATAGGTTGCTACAGAACAAATATTGTAAGTGCTAAAATCAAGATTAACGCATTTCATTACTACATCTGGCAACATTGACTCAATGAAAGTCAGGCAATTAAGTGTACACAAATAATTGAGTTTTTGGTTTTATACTGATTTTAAAAAGGCTATAAAAGCTTATTATTACTATTACTTTGCTTAATAGAAAAGAGAAACAAATATTTGTGTGCAAACCTCAACATGCTCTGATAAGTCCTGCTCTAATTTGTATTGACGTGTTTTGGACATGGAATTAAAAGGTATACGTTTTATAACTTAGACAATATCTGTAAAATACACTGAAAATGTGTCTGATTGTGCAAGGATAGATTGCCCCATAGAGCACTAACCATGTAGTTTTTAATCGTGTTCAGTATGGTCATTCCAATACAATTTACCACATTTTTCATAACAGATATTCCAGGGCATTTTAAATTACGCCCTTGGAATTTAAACAGTTATGTAGTCCTCAACCTTATTGGAGCTACATGAAACATTGATACTATTTTATTGCGTAAAATAAAAATAAAACGGTAACATAACATAAAACACATAAAGTAAGTAATACATATTAATTCTCATATTTTAACTAAACTCATTTTTAGTGTGGAAATGTTGTCCTTTTCAATAAAGTTTTAGGGAAGAAGGTTTTTTTCAGTCACGTGATGTGACGTCACGAGTAGGTCCTGTGATACGCTGGTGGAAGTAAAGGAAATCAAACCATCAGCTACAACAGCAGGCTGAGTGTATTAACGATAAAAGACCAGTATCTGTAAATTACCGTGTAAAGGACCGAGACAAGGCGCTTCAGGTCGCGCTGCTGGCCGTTGAAAGCCCCACAAAGAAACAAAGATGACGGCGGCGGTGTTTTTCGGCTGCACCTTTATTGCCTTCGGCCCGGCCATCGCTCTGTTCCTGTTTACCATCGCCCGGGATCCGCTGAGGGTCATTTTCCTCATAGCCGGGTGAGAGTTAATCTATATTATTTGAGGCTAAGGTGAAAGTTACCTTATCTTGAGAAAGCAGCGTAGAACTGCCGTGTTTAACGTTGATACCCCAGTATTTACCAGTGTAAGTTAGCTTGCTAGCTAACAGACCGCTTCCTTAGCTAGCTGCTACTAATAGCTTCCATTTTGGGACTCTGTCTTGATAGTTTCTTTCTTATTACACAAACTTAAAGAACATACTCTCCAGACAAATATGCAATGGGAAGATACATATTTAGTTTTAGAGTCCATTTCCTCTTCTCTTTTTGTATGTTTAGCATTACTTTTAACAATTTTATTTTTGAATCAAGCTAGCAGCTATTCACGACATTACTTGTTGTAATTACAATCAGTGCAGGATGATGAGTACACGGGCCGCACAGTTATGGCATTCTGCAAGTTAAATTGCTAAAACATTTTATTTTGAAGCCCTGTGGTCAAAAAGGGGAACATTGACTTGCTGCTCCATGGTTTAAACTTTGAGTATAGAATTTAGCCAATCACAGCCCTCTTTATTTTTCAAAATGAGACCCGTTTTAAATAATATTTTACATTTTTACAATTAACAATGAAAAACTGAAGAAAAAAATAGTTTTCTTGATGTTGACACCAAAATGTGTAAAAGTCATTGAGTAAAATGTATTTATCAAATCAGACTTAAATGAAAACTCAGAATTCCCTTATTCGACATTTTAATATTGTGATATGTATCAAGTTAGTGTTTTCTTTTTTTCTGGTTTGAAAGGATTACAGCGATGTCCCAAACATGTATGATGTTGGGGCCATCCCATAGTGATATTTGGTTTGTCCTATACAGCCCATTCACAGTCTGATGTTAGATTTTCAGGAAAAGACAACGTAGACTTACCTGAAATGTTTAAATCATTTATTATAGATGAAATGTCTTTGGATTTGCAGGGGGATTTTCCACAATTTTCAGCCATTATAAAGTCAACCGATTTAATTCATTATTTCTACAAATTATAGGAAATGTAAATACATTTTAGCTGCAGCCCAACATGAAAGTATCACATTTTCACATGACTACAGTTGGTCTGCTTTCACAGGTTTTAGATGTGATTAACTCAGTGCTGAATGCAGTATTAACGTAGTAAAGGACATTTTGGCCTGTTTTTTTATACCTGACCCTCAGGCCAGGTCTTGTGCCAAAAATGGACAGCCTGTTGAAATATGAACACCCTGTTGGAATAGCTTACTTTTAACCCATTTTTTTAGACTGTAAAGCCATTTGTGACTACTAATAATTGATGGTAGGCCAATAAGGATATTAGTTATTTAACTGAAATCATACTAAATATTACTTTTAGGAATCCTCTCGGGTGTCACACTGGCCTGTTTCTGAGCCTCTTTTCATATAACTGATTGTGTATCTGTTTGTTTATTTCTCATCAGAGCGTTTTTCTGGCTGGTGTCCCTTCTGCTGGCCTCTCTGGTCTGGTTCATCTCGGTTCAGATCAGTAATAAGGAGAGCGCGGCGCAGCAGAAAGGGCTCCTCATCTTCGGAGTGGTGCTGTCCGTCCTGCTGCAGGAAACCTTCCGCTTCGCCTACTACAAGCTGCTGAAGTAAGTCGCTGCTACAACACTGTCTGACGCTTTTACAGACGCCTCATCCTCACCACAGTCTCTGTTATCACACTCAATCTGAGGAAATTCAGTGGGAATCATCTGATCCTGAGCTTTTTAACACCATTAGAGTTCTTACACATTCTTTGTAGTGGAGTTGTATTTTGTGGCATGAATTCACATTTATTGAATTTTAATATAATCAGTCAGCAGGGGATTTGTACTGCTTGTGTTGAGATGCCTATAAAGTCTTGACATGACTTGGTAGAAATCTGATGTAAAATAAAGACTTTTACAGAAGTTTGACATTACTGAAGGAGGGAGGGGAGTGTAAACACAATCCTGAGGACAGTAACTAGTAGATCAGCTATATACTAGTATACACTAAGTGTATATTTAATACACTTTTTGTTTTACTGCTTTTGCGATTTTATACAAGAAATTGTTGTAGTCAATAGTCATTTCTACTTCAATATCTACCTCATTTTCCATGAACAGTACATTTAAAATATATTTAAATGTGATCACAAAGACTTTTTTGAATTTAATATCATCACACAGATTTAGATGGAATTAGAACAAAGCAAATGTTAATAACATCAGCAGCCACTAGAGGGCACTACAGTGTAATAATCTATGAACTATTCTGTATTGAAATGAATGCCAGTGCTTCCTTTACCCAGTCCAGAGCCCTATAATAGGCTCTGACCCAGTCTATGCTTTTATTAACAGAACTAACACAGAGAAAGTGATTCCGAAACAAGTACTTAGTGTTTATAATGCTCTACTGCGTAATACTGAGGGAGAATAATACACTGCTTTGCTTTTGCTAGTTTAAACAACAGATCACATTCACAAGAATATATATATATATATATATATATATATATCATCAGTGTTAATGTGCTAGTGCATCTTCAAAGGACCATACATGAACGTCTTACTCTTGGTTATTTCCATAAGCCATCTGTTTGTTTTTCATGATAGTTTTATCTTCAGTGTGCCATGACAGTTAACGTGCAGAGACATTTTCTCATATTTATGACTTTCATAATATTAAACCTTCACAAACTAATGAGATAATCAAAATGTTTGACATGACAGTTAACATGCAGAGACTTGAAAAAGTTATTTTAACAACCAGATGAAAAACAGCTTTGGTTAATGTTTTGTCACAGTTGCAGACAATCTTTTAATAACAATCTCCACTTATTACCATGCATGCACTTTCAATGTTATTTATTTTAGGTATTTTGTTGCATCTATGACTACTATTTTTAATAATCTGACTTTTATCCTCAATTAATTGATCAAATGCTTGTTTTATGAAATGTTTGTTTTTATGAAATGTCGCAATTTCCCAGAACCAAAAGGCTATTTCATCAAATGTCTTTTTTTGTCTAACTACAGTCCAAAACCAAAATATATTCACTTCATTCCCATCAAAAATAAAAACAAACCACAAATATTCATATCTGAGATTATAGAACCCGTAAATGTTTGTTTTAAATAAACTTGAAATAGTTGCAAATACATTTTGTGTCAATCGATTAACCAGTACTTTAAAAGAGGCTGAATGATGTGATTAAAACCAACATTTCCGCTTTTTGCCATACTTTCATTCTGTTAGGAAATGGATAGAAACCAGTGGTAAAATACTTTACTACTATACTTTACAAATACTTTACTCAATTTTAGAAGAACATGCATAAATCTTTGCTGCAAAGCTGTATGTTTAATTGTGTAGTGGAATTATTTATGGGAAGAAGTAGGGCTGCTGGATTATGGCAAAAATCATAATCTCGATTATTTGGGTCAATAATTGATATCACGATTATTAAAAACGATTATCCATTTACTTTGAAAACATCCATTTATTAAAAAAAAAAAAAAAGTGAACAGTATGTTTTTAACAGTTGATTACCCTGAACTTTAAGTATAATTCAACTGAAAAACCAATAATTTTTTTTTTAATTAATTTTAAAAAATCAATTAAAATTAATTAAAAAAAATTAATAAAAATAAATAAATAATCGTTTTATTTCGATTATGTTGTTTTCATAATCGTTGCAAGCCAAAATCGTAATTGCGATTAAAATACGATTTAATTGAGCAGCCCTAGGAAGAAAACGGGCCTTTTCCTTTTTTTAATACCACACATATTTTTTGCGTTTTTGAGGTAAACACTGTAGCTCAAGTATTTGTGTCAGTTCCAAAAGATGACCTACACAATGTCAAGAGACATTTTGTGAAAAAAAACAATAGCTGACTTTTTTTACTCTGTTATAATCATCATCACACCCTGACTCCTAGCTGTATCCCCTGTTGTGTCCCAGTTTCCCACCATTAGTCATTTTCTATTAAAGGTTCATTGTTGCAGGCCGTATCGTCTTCCTCTGTCTGACATACATAGACTGATGACCTTGTTTACAGCTCACAGTGAAGAACGGGAGCTTTAGGCTCATGTGTGTGTTTGTGTGTGTGTTCTCTTTCAGGAAAGCAAATGAAGGCCTCCTCACTCTCAGCCAGGAGGAAACCATGCCCATCTCCATACGGCAGCTGGCCTACGGTACAGTTAGTCTGCACTTCACATCACCTGCTAATACTTTTGTTCTTTACTATTATGTCTAAAGAATAATGATATGTCAAACTCTGTTGCTTCTTTTAGCCATTCTTTTTTAATCAGGTGTATATGATACATCAAAAATGCTCATATCGTCCATTTTTCTGTGGAATAAACCACTCCTTGTCGTCCTGGTTACCTCAGTGTCCGGCCTGGGCTTCGGCTTCATGAGCGGAGCTTTCTCAGTGGTGAACATCCTGGCAGACTCTGTGGGGCCCGGGACCGTCGGGATCCACGGAGACTCTCAGCACTACTTCCTGTCCTCAGGTACCAAAGCTCACAAACACCTTTTGGATCGTTCCAGATGGAATCGCTACAATGTGTACTTTGATTTTTAAATGCATTTGTTAGTCTTTTACAATAAATAGTTTTGTCTCTCTACTCTTACATTAAGATGTTCTAGCTGATGCAGACAAGCCAATTAAGAAACATATTGTGTATTTTATGAAGAAATGTAACCCCTTTTCAGCCTTCATGACCCTGGCCATCATCCTGCTGCACATGTTCTGGGGCGTGGTCTTCTTCGACGCCTGTGAGAAGCAGCGCTGGTGGGCGGTGGCCGCCGTCGTCATCAGCCACCTCCTGGTGTCCTGCCTGGTGAGTGTTGCTGGGGGTCTGAGCATGATGAGGGCTGGTGGGAGGAACTGTTCTTCAAGACCGGAGCAATACAACTGATTTCAGTAGACTTCACTCTCATATGTGCAACACAAGTCCAAGAAGTGTGTTAATATGAAATCTTTACACTCTTTTACGAAAGCGCTGCATTAAATGTAGAATTATTTTGTTATATATTAGTAACTAATGCATTGTCCATAAAGCTCAGTTTCACACTGGGCTCATGTGTTTTAACTTCATGGTTTTCTTTTCTGTGACGTTTCACATGAGTCTCAATGTGATGAGCAATGGGGCGTTATGAACATTTAATGTCACTGTTTTCTTAGCCAAAATGATAGCAATTTGCAATAACATCCTGATAATCATCAACATATGCTCAACAAAATGTATATTGATTGCATCACAGATGGGATGCATACTTTTTAAAGGCCAAAAACGGTATTAAACATTCATTAATAAAGTCATCATAAATGATAAGGTCCCCTGCGTTGATAACGATTTTGAAATGGCAAGTTTTATTTGTTGATTGCTTTATTATTTTAAAAGGCTTTATTATTCACGTCTCTACTGTTAGTAGGCTGAACAGCTCGTTTTAAGGTACACATGAGGGTACTCGGAGATCATGGAAATTCCCCACGATGAATTATTAATGTTGCTTTTATTGCGTAATGAATATTATTCTCCCAAGATCGGAGAATAATATTTATTATATCCGCTTATTACCTTTTTTGACATTATTACTTGGTATAGTGGACATTTGTTCATATTTATGACTTTCATCATATAGCATTATCTAAACCTTCACAAACTAATGAGCTAATCAAAATGTTTCATAGCAAAACTTTTTTCATTGTACTATCATGTTGACCCGTGTTTCCCGTCTTCTCCTGCAGACCTTCCAGAACCCCGAGTACGTGGCCAGCCTGGTCCCCACCTACATCATCCTGTTCGTGATGGGCATTTGGGCGTTTTACTCCGCCGGCGGCTCCCTCAGGAACCTCAAACTCTGCCTCACCTGCAAAGACAAGGACTTCCTGCTCGCCAACCACCGGCCCAGATAACGCAGCACACAGGGCGCTGTGCAGGACTCTTTACCCAAAGATGACCGAGTTCACAAACACACACACACACACAAACACACACACACACAGAACACAGCGAGGAAGCAGAGTTAACCTTCTGTTAATCTGCTGTTTCACTAAGAGGTATTTCATCTTCAATCTAAACACGTAAAAGAAGAATCAGAGAAAGGTCCTTGAATGAAAGGAACCAAATATTTGGATTCATGTCCACCTCAGTTTGTATAATTCAAAAATACAAAATGTCTTAAATCTAGCTGATAGTGTCCCCTGTTTGTTGCCTGATGCTTCGAAACGAACTGACAAAAGGTGTTTTAGATGGAAACGTTTCACATTCTGTAAATATTCCAATGTTTTCAACTATCTTCTTTTCAAATGTGTCAAAGGGTGGATTTCTCATTTCTGATCAGAACTCTTTGTGTAAATATTTATGCATTTTTAATTCCCTGCTGTGTAGATAGTGAAATCTTTTTTTCAAGATGTGATATCTTTTAGTCAGTGTAAGAACTTGCCTTTGATTTGAAATGAACACAGATTGACAGAAGCCGAGAGGACATGACCTCCGTTTGTTTGATCGCAGTTATCTAGAGACCATGACTTTCTCACTTCTGTAGGGCAATTAAATGAAATCACCATGACTTCCTTTAGTTGATTCTTTTGTTCCACGCTTGAGTATTTATGTCTCAAAGATAATGGTTACTAATTAGAAGGCTGAATGCATAAACATTTCATTCCATCTAATTTGCACGCTTTTGGCCAATTGTACTTCTCATGGTATTCCAAATCGCTCTAACGTATCACAATTCAGTCCCACAGGAATTAAAACATTTTAATTGATAGACTTTGCGGCTTTCAGTGACCTGAAATCCTATGAAATATAGTTGAATCCTGTTCTTGAGAGAATACAAATGTTTAATATCGCCAAGTGAGTCCTTATCAAAAGGATTCAAATGAAGAGTCTCAGCTTCCGTGTAGATAAACGGATGGTTCATGTACTTTATTTCTCACTCCCGTGTGTACACAAATCCACTATTATAAAAACACAAATAGGATTAAGAACAGGTGGACATTTGGCCTCCATGATTTTTGAATGTTGAATTTCTTTGTTGCCTTTTCTTTTTGTTTGTGAGTGCAGGAGTTCTCATGAATACTCCAAAATCAACGAAGGTTTTCCATTTGCACCTGATTTAGTTTTTGTGTTGACCTGCTTGTACAGTTTGTATAGATGACATTCCCCCATGTTTCTACCAGTGAACTAGCTTAAGGTGATGCTTAGAACATGTTTTTTGACTTTATTCCAAACATAATCAAATAACGCTGGTTCACAAAGATAGAGAAGACTTAGTTTATGCAGTTCACCTACAGATTCATTAGTGCAGACCATAATAGAATCCTGCAATAAAATCTCCCTTCATAAAGGTTATATTTTTTGGTTTATTTATTTCAAAAATATGTTAATTCAAGAGACTGGTCATTTTGGAGGGCTTAGTTTGTGGTACTGTTGAACTCCGAAGTGTTTCCGTTCTTTAGTCAACCTTTATAAACAAGGTGGACAAACCCCCTGTCAATATGAGGCAATACATTCAACAGCATTCAACATTCCTCAGAAGGATTAATAATAACTTTGATATTCTCTTTATATAGCATCACCCTGAAAGCAACATTTTAAAAGGGCCCTATTCTGCTTCTTTTTAGGTTCATCTTAGTATTTAGTACTTTTACTGGGACAAGTCTCCATGCTTCAATGTTCAAAAAGCTCTTTATTTTTCTCGTACTGCCTGTGCTGCAGCACCTCTTTTCACCCTCTGTCTGAAACCAGAGCCCAGTCTGCTCTGATTGGTTAGCTGGCCAATCCCCCCCCTTGACTTATCATGTACTATGTGTTGGAGCGCTAGCCAATAGAAGAGTGTTACGTAGTGATGTCACGGTTACCAAATTAAACAAAGTGGTCCAATGAAGGCGTTTCAGGCAGAGGCAAGTTTATTTATATAGCACCTTTCAACACAAGGCAATTCAAAGGGCTTTACAACAATGAAAAACATTAAGAAAATGGCATTTAAAATCAGTCATTAAAAAGCAAAGATAATAAAATAAACATTAAAATAAAAAATACATGAATAAAAGTTACAGTGCAGTTTAAGATGTGAATAGCTCAATTAAAAGCAGCGGCAAAAAGAAAAGTCTTCAGCCTGGATTTAAAAGTAGTAAGAGTTGCAGCGGACCTGCAGGTTTCTGGGAGTTTGTTCCAGATATTTGGAGCATAATAACTGAATGCTGCTTTACCATGTTTAGTTCTGACTCTGGGGACAGAAAGCTGACCAGTCCCTGAAGACCTGAGAGTTCTGGATGGTTCATAATTTAGTATTAGGTCAGAAATGTATTTTGGGCCTAAACCATTCAAAGCTTTATAAACCAGCAGCAGTATTTTGATCTATTCTTTGACACACAGGAAGCCAGTGTAAGGACTTCAGAACAGGAGTGATGTGATCCACTTTCTTAGTGTTAGTGAGGACTCGAGCAGCAGCGTTCTGAATTAGCTGCAGCTTTCTAATAGATGTTTTAGTGAGACCTGTAAAGACACCATTACAGTAGTCCAGTCTACTGAAGATAAAAGCATGGACAAGTTTTTCCAAATCCTGCTGTGACATTAGTCTTTCAATCCTAGATATGTTCTTTAGGTGATAGTAGGCTGACTTAGTATAGTAAGGGGCTGTGTGGGAGGAACTCCCTCTGGCAGGAACTAGGGATTTTAGCCTTTGCAGACCATTTACATGCACACAAAGCTATAAAACACTACGGGAAAAATAGTAGGGCCCCTTTATTTTGTCCAATATATTGGTTTGTGACCAGATACTTTAAAAACATCATGGCAATAGACTCTTTACATCTTCAATAGGTATAGGTCTGTGACTTTATGCCACAAACAGGCTAGAGAAGTAAAACAGTATTGAGATAAAATAATACCACATTTACTTTACAAGTCTTCCGACAAATGCTAATGCAGAAAAATATAAAATACAGAAAACAGTCAGTCATTTCATGTCACCTCTTAATGAGCCGTCTGCAGGACACAAAGCAGGCGCCAGGTTTCCAGTACTGTATGAGTGTGTGTGTGTGTGTGTGTGATGCTGCGAAAGCATTATGCTTTCGGATGATGCTTAATTTCTCACGTCCAAAAAGACAACAAGCTCTGGGAGTGTGAGATTCGCCAATCGCACAAACTAATCAGAAATCACTCACTTTAAAACAAAAAAAATCTTCTTAAAATGTCCCTCCACTCTGTCCCCCCCCCCTCCTAGTCTTGTTTCCATTTATGAAAGCAGATACCTCCTGGCTAGCCGACACAAAGCCTGTTGGGCTCTCTTGAGGGCTTCAGTCAGTCAAAGGCCTTGTTCACCCAGACAGCAGACAGACAGGGCAGGAAGTGTTTCTTTTGCAAAAAAAAATCCCCCAAAACTTTCTCATGCTTATATGAGTCCATGCAGCTGTTGACATGGGGTCAACTCTGTGATATTAAAGGTTTGTGTTCCATGTCAGGTTCAGGAGGTGATGCCTTCAGGTTCATGTGTTTATCACTGATCAAATTACCTGACTGCCTGTGTATGATTTTTCAACATTTTGGTTTTCAGGTGGCTGGAGAGAAAATGCCAATTTGCTGCCCAAGGCAAGATTTTAGCTGGCGCCCCCCCCACCCCCTTGTGGCACGACCACTAAAACAGAAAAATATGGACACAAAATGTGTGCAAATGTATTTAGTATCCTATCCATGTGAACATGATTTAAGTGGGGGGTGGACCTAACATCCTCTAGGGGGGTCCGGGGGCATGCTCCCCCGGGAAGATAATTTATTTTTTTAATATTGAAGTTAAAAGCATCAATCTGGTGCACTTTGAGAACAAAATTAAGAGATCTATGGATACATCTCTCAACATCAATATGAAACAGAACTGTAAGCAGATTACAATTAAAACCTATAATTGCACACTAAAACCATTATTTCAAAAAAAGAACTATTTCACATAAACCTCTGGTTTTTACTGGGGCTGGGGCAGTTCAACTTGATTTTTTGGGGGGGGGGGGGTGCTGTACGCAATATAGGCGTAGTTCTGTTAGTATAAGATAATAAGATGTACTTTGTTGGTCCAAAATCGGGAAATTGTGTTATGAAATTAAAAAATATATATATTTTTTATTTCTAACTTCTTATTCTTTTTTTCTTCTCCCCAATCTTTGGCGCCCCCGATGGGTTGATGCGCCCTTAGCATTCGCCTATACTGCCTATATGCCAAGGGCCGGCCCTGTGCTCCACAATCAAAGGATATGATATTATTGTAGTTGAAATCTGTACAATTTAATGTATTTTTTTTTCAAGTAATTTCAGTTTATTGCACCACACTTTATTTATTCATCTACGGTGGAAATCTACCGTCATGTAGAAAACAGCCTATGCTATACCTTTACATTTTACTTCATATACATGTGCAATACTGTGCCAAGTAAGTGAAGTGGACACGGTGCAAGTCATGCAAAAAATCAAGCAGGGATAATGTAAAATTGTAGAGAAGATATTATCAGTTAATTGGAAGATGTTGAAAGTGTGTTAGTGTTTGTATTATCCTAAAGAGCTTGAGTTTTTTTCATTTGATTATGTTTCATTTGGCATGGCCATTTGAATCCCCGCAGGTTCTGTGATGTTTCCCTCGCAGTGGACCACAGAGAGGCACTGTTCTCTGTAAATACTGCACAGTTACATTTAAACCTGTGCTGAATTATTTTTAACATTAGGTTTGATTTGATGACAGCACACGTAGATAACAGCCGTCTCATTGGGTTTGGTGGTCTGTAAGTTATATATTAATTATATGTAATTGAATTGTTAAATATCTTATCAGTGGTTGTAGTTTTCGAATACTTTCATGCATCAGTTAATTAGTAGTACATCTCTGCTTGCAGTTGCGGCCCCGCCCACGCGCGCGCCCACCTGCGCATAATTTATGCTAATGAGCAGGTGCAGCGGTTCTTGAGGCGCGCGGCGGGTCGCTCGCGGATGATCCGGATGGAGCAGCGCAGGGAGCAGCGGGAGTCCAGCCGGAGGGTTTTCACCAGGTGATGCTGTCCAAACCCGACTGACTGCGGATCCGCGAAACACGAATGGATCCCTATTTAAGACGGAGCTGGAAAAGGCTTCTTCACTTATTATCTTTGTATTATATTCTAATTTATCAAGGTGAGTCACATCCTTACACGGGACTATATTCTGCTGGTTATTCTGCACATATAGTGAAGTGTGTTTTTCTCAGAGAAAGTACAATAATCAGTCCTATATGTCCATTACATTTTTTGAAGGACTTAGAAAATTAGGACTAACAAGTCAAAATTGTTCTCTTGTCTTGATCTGATTTTATTTTTTCATTTTATTAAAGTAATATTGACTTCCTCAGTTATATTTATTTTACTTTTTACATTTTTCACATGTGTATTTATTTGGACTTTTTCTTTATTTCCCATGATTTCAGCGCATCTGTCCTTCGGTGTTGAGAGAGTGAACGTTTCTAACGGGAATGAATTGAATAAGTGAGTTATTTTTTATATATATTTCAATAGCATTGTGTTGTTTTTATTATTTTTCATCATCATTTAAATCCTTCTAGGTTATTTGCATTAATACCTATATACAGTAAATAGTATTTTTGTATATAAAATGTACAGTATTCAGTTTTTTGGTATTATACTAATACATTTAAGATAATGATATCAGAAATATGTTATAGTTTTATCTAGGGCTAAAACAGTTGGTTTATGAATCAATTAGTGCAACAACATAATATCAATAAGCATTTATTTTGATAATCAATTAGTCATAAAAGTTATTTATTATACCAAACTGAAAAGAAAACATCTTCTCTTTTGCTTATCAAAATTACATTTTGCTGTCTTTTTTGGGTTAGGTTTAGGGTTAGGGAATTTTGAATACTTTTGTATTGTTGGTTGCACAAAACATTTTGACTCAAATGTGTAATCTTGTAAGCATTTTCACTATTTTTGACATGTTAAAGATCAACCAATTAATCAATGTATTGATAACAGCAATAAGAAGATTAAATGTAGCAGCCCTAATTGTTTTTTAGGTGGCCCTTTGTCACTGGAATATCATGGAGCAGACATTGTTTGCTTGATTGATGGGTAGTTTTTTGGGGGGTTGTATGGTTTATTTGGTGGTTTGGTTGGTTCCTGGTTGTTGGGTTTGTGGTGTCCGGGGGAAAGCTGCAACAGGAACAAACCTCTCCTTGTTCTCTCTGTCCCAGCAGCGGGAGCAGCGGGATAAAGCAGCAGAAATGGGACACCGCTTCCCAGGGAGGGCAGGTAGGCAGCCGCATTGATCATTGATGCTGATGGAGCTGCTTCAAGCGGCAAGCACACAGC